CACCAAATCAAGTGAAAAGATTCGACAAAATGCTCAATATCACATGTATCAGCAATCGAACGTTAATGTGCGTTTCTCATCATGCAAATCATTGATCACTGAAAAAGTTTTGATATTTTTGGAAAATATCGAAGCGTTCAGAGTAAGAAACGCTCGTCAAATCACATCATAATTGTGTTTGAAATTCTGTGAAGTGTGACTGTTTACTTGGAGTATTCTTCTTGAAGAAGTCTACACAAGATGCTGCTTTTTTATGTAATCATTACTTGTTTTGTTATGTCCGCATTTGTTAAACGAAAATATTTTGTATGGCAGTGAGTAAATTTTTTTTTTGTTTTGCGCATGTGCAATGTTTGTGAATTGATGTGGCTTATATATTGTGTGATGAGCTTTTTTTGTGTGGCACACGGGAAAGTGAATATAAAATGACGAACAGAACATGAAATCACTATTCGTACAGAACGCGTCTTCATCACAAATGTTTCAGCTCGTCGTATTTATCGTAAGTGCTTCGATTATTTCCATTGATGTTCCATTCTAAGTCTTGGGTTGTTTCCTCGAGACCAATGCAGTTTCATCGAAGTTCATCAACAACCTTGAGATTTCTTTGGAACAAATAGCAAGCTTAATGTATCTAACAAGCCTTATGAATTAACGCTCGTGGAGATGACGAATCTAGATAAATTGATCTACACTAGATACTGCTATTTGATAAGCTTCATGAAGTAGTCAAATCGAACTTCCTAGTTCATTAATCAAAAACAAAATCATTTTTATTTATCCTGTTGAACTAAATTAAAATTTTTTCCGTGCTCATTTGCACTGCACATTCTATCCGACTGAAACATGTCTAGATAAAATTCACGATATTGCATTGACAATATTCATCTTGAATGTCATCATTGTCATGTCTGTTTCTAGCAGCTTATGTGAACCTCAAGAGTTTCCTTATCTTAGCTAGTAGTAATTCTCTTACCATCATGCTTCAAAATATTGACGAAAATTTTCATTCTCAGGTCTTTGTGGTTTCTACTGCTGTTGCTCATCAAGAGTGTGGTCCGAATGAGAGGTGGAGCGAATGTCCTATGTGTGAGCTGAAATGTGGGCAAGATGAAATGGTTTGTATTATTACTTCTTGATCTCAGTCGCTCATTGATTTACTAGAATTTGCAGTTTAAGAGTCAAATAACAGAGTTCAAGCCGGGAAACATCGGAATATTGGACGCAAGTTGTTTTCGGAAAATATGATGCGGTTAATGATTTGGCTAATCTGAATCAAAGTTTTGGCTCTGGAATTTTTGAAAGTTTCAGACTCCGTGTCTCTATATGTGTACCCCGCCAGCATGCGAATGTCCTTCTGACAAATTCAGACGAACTGAGGACGGCAAATGTATCCCGACTGCACAATGCCCCCAACACAGAATCAGACGTGGTAGGAACGTTGAATGACTGAGTTTGATTTGATTTTCTGAGCACAGCAAATAATGGAATAAATTCAATTTGGTCTTATAGTCATCATCGATATCCTAAAATTTGCAGATGTTGAAGTGCTAATCCGTTGTTGCATCCATCTTCACCAATCAAATTTCAGAGCATAAATGCGACGAAAATGAGACATGGACAGAGTGCGGAGGATGCGAAGGAACGTGCGATAAAAGACTTGTTCCGTGCGTAAGAATGTGCAAACCGCCAAGCTGTGAGTGTGTCGCCGGCGCTGGATTCGTTCGTGATTCTAAGGGAAAATGCATCAAATTCGACGATTGCCCTAAATAAAATCGCGTGAATAATTTGATAGATAAATGGAACTTTTCATTTGCACATGTTGACCATAGATATATAATCTGCAAGTTTGGTAGTTTTTAATAAAGTGACGTCTTCCTGAAACTTGCTCTCATCTAAAGTTAATCAAAACAATCAGAAACACAAGTTGGTATATTTCCACAGCAGAGTCTGTTGTCTTCGTAGATTTTATTTGTGTTCTGTTCAGTTTCACTAATTTTTCATTCAAACTAATCGCTCAAACAAAACTCAAACGAAAGGAAATGTTAATTAGAATTGAATAGCATCAGCCTTTGATTGCGCACATTCAACGATTACTAGCTTTCAGAATTTCTGTTGCATTTGTTGTGCACTAATCGCTCGATCCCTATTAACGAAAGCAATTTGTTCGTTAACCCCCAACTTTTTTTGAATGGAACTTATCGACCACAAATACCGCTGAAATTGTTTTTTAGCGCTAGCGATTGACGATAATTGCCTGTGTTTTTCGTCACTGACGTTTTAACGAGTTATTTTTTTCATCTGCCTCTCATCCGATAAAAGATATCCGTCAACGGATATTTCATCTAAGTTCCTCAAGCGATTTGTGCCCACTCTCCTCTCTCGATCGTGCGCGAAATTCTCATTCCTCTTCACCATTAATTCACATGAATGCCATTCACCTTCTTAAGCAAAATGATGTGGAATATCAAAGAAGTGGAAAAATTTCTCAGTGACCACAAAATATTTGGTATCAACAGTTCTTTCATAGTGGTAAAAGAGTCAATGCTTTGTGATCATTCAGATATTTTGAAAACATTATTGAAGAATAATGAAGTGAAAATACGCTTGACTTTAATTTGCCATCCATCCCCCCCAATTATCTTCTTTTCCTGTCACAGTGAATTATCCACAGAACTGCTGCTGTTTTACAAAGCGACACTTGTTTGACTCGGCGGTTCACTTAATGACGAAAATACACAACTTTCGAGAATGACTCTCTGCGCTTATTTTTGTCATCCTGAGTGATCGCGTTCTAACTGTGCTATTGATTTTATACCGAATCACTCTGACAAGATAGCAGCTATTGGTAAACTAAACTTTTAGAACAAGCAGCTCTACGTTGAAATCACCAGTGATCCATAACTTTGATCACAATCATAATTGATTGTGATTGAAAATTACGGATATCTGACGAACTTCTTAAAATTCCATGGTTGCATTGCAATTCAATATGTTAAGAATTCATAGTAACGTGGGATGATCTCTTCTGTAACGTCAGCGATGTTGAATTGCCTGTCTCTCAAAAACTGTTTGAAAAACTCACTTCATCGCCTCATATCGAATAAACGTAAAACATTAACGTAAAACTCATCTCACTTTGGTGTATACCGAATGAGTCTGAAAAGAAAGCGAATGGTGTCAAGAGGATTTTTTTGATAAGATTCACATGGCAATCGCAAATTTTGAAGGAGAATTAACATTCGCGGAATAACGCTAGCGATTGACGACTGAGTTTTGAGATCAACGCATCGAAGAACGTTGTCGCCAATTTTTCCCAAATGACAGCGTTTCTTGTTAGCAGCTTCAATAACGGATTAATTTTAAAGGAATACATGTAGCGGCGTGTAACGAACTTAATTTTTTGCATGGGCACACCCAAGACTGGAAATTTCAATTAGATTTGCTGCATGTCGGTCTTGGGGAAAGCACCTGATTCGAAAACGACGTTCGGATGCCTTCACTGAATCTGATAGTGAGTTCATTTCACATTTGAATACCAATAATACAAACATCAGCCAGTAAATCAGCAGCAGTACTGTTGTGTCGAACCGACTGAGAATCGTCATCATCATGCCCTCAGTTGGATTCTATCAAAGTAACATGGAGCTTGGCTTTGAATGCCTATTTTGAGTGCGTTTGAAGTGTGTATTTGAATCACATAAACAAACAAATATACAATGCACATTGATATTTCACAATTTATAAACAAATTCAGACATGATTATTCATTACTGTAAAGAGCACGTCAAGCAAATACATACAATTTCACTGCTAATAAAGCGATAAGTTTTGTTCATTCATCACAAAATTTCATCACGGACACTGACTCGACAGAACACATCTTCCGTCCGAAGTTCGTCTCAGCTTTCTGGCTGCTGGGCATACGCATTTGGGTTCTCCACAGCCGATGTCACATTGACCCTGAACTTTTCAGCGAGATGATTGTTTTCTCAATTGAAACATAAACTCATGAAGGGTCGCAGTTTTCGTGGAAAATAATTTGTTCTCAACTATCCATTTTACGTTGAA